TACCAAAAGTGTACCCAAAAAAAATATTTGTGGCACTCCTACTGCCGCCCTTCTGGCCATATGGACATTAACCTGTCAACGTGGCCAAGTTTGCAACACATTTAGTGGCCAGGCCCGAAGGCGCAAGTTCAAGCTAAGGTAACTAAGGGCACTGGGAAAAAAACTTGAGTACTTGTGAATAGAATATTTCTATTATTAACTTAAGTTGGAATTGTTGGAATTAAAAAAAAATCAAATTATAGCTACCTAGTCTTGGCTTTCTTATTTTCATAAAATATATTATTTAATACATTTTGACTTCCAATACTTCCTGTATCATTTAAAACTATAGTTTCTTAGACTTCACATAGAAATACATCTGTGAATAGAATATTTCTATTATTAACTTAAGTTGGAATTGTTGGAATTGAAAAGAATCAAATTATAGCTAGTAAAGTTTCTTGGCTTTCCTATTTTCATAAAATATATTATTTAATAAATTTTGACTTCCAATACATCCTGTATCATTTAAAACTATAGTTTCTTAGACTTCACATAGAAATACATTTGCTTTCAGTGCACTTTAACGCAAAGTCATTGCATTGCCATCGCCGCGACTCTTAATCTATAAGCAGTAATCAAATTTCAGCTCGCAGCTACCAACTTGCAGCGCGTACGTGGCTGCCACAGCCCGTAATTATGCAACACATGTTCAGTGCAACAATTGGCCATAATTTAGTCAAAGGTAATTGAGTAAGCCCCGACGACTAACGCCAGCTCCCGGGTCCGCTCTATCATTATGCGGTCCCCAAACTGAGCGAAAAGAAAAAGACCGAGACGACGGTGGTCATACGCACAGTAGTCGGTAGTCAGCGAGGAGGTACAGGCCAACCTTGATTGACGACCACAATGGGGATTGAGTGATGGAATTATCCGCGAGCCCGCGGGTGCTCCATGCGGGGAGTGGAGGAGGTGCATCCGAGGTGGTGGCTGCCACTGGGCGCCTGACTGCCTGCCAGGCTGCCAGGCTGCCAAGCTACCTTGTTTATTTATTTCTAGTTAGTCGCATTAACTCGCCGGACTGTTATTTAATTGTATGGAGCGATTGGATGAGCATCAACCATCCACCTCAGTTAATGTGCACTGGGAGAAATATAGCAACTAATATGTGTACAAAAATATTGTTAATATTTCTATACAGATATGGTTATCAAGCATTTATTTTGCATTACAAAAAGGGAATTCCAGAAGCCATAAAACAACTTTTTGTATTGTTTATATTTTAGTGGTTATCAAATTATTAAAAATACTTCAATTTCTCATAGGTAATACATTTGAATATTGAAACTTTTTCATTATATTTATATTTCTTATTTGATGAGATCTAAAATACTTCTCACTCGCTCATCTGAATTGTTGTTCTCGTATAAACCTTGTTTATTTTTACACTCTAAATGATATGTAAAAATTTAAACAAAACAATATTTTCCCCAGTGTACCCCTTAACTTATATGTGTAAAATTCCGAATGCCACGTCGTATCCTTTCTTCCATAATAGCTCTCCGGTTAATGATTGCAGTCAATGTGAGCTAAGCGCTTGACTATCTGGTATCAAGGAAGATAGAAATTGTTGTTTAATTTGCGGAAATTGCTGGCAAAGTGGCCGCACAACAGCAACAACAAAAACTAAAAAAATCCGACAAAAAGAGAAGGTTAAGGAGATGAACGTACTGAAATATGTGCCATATTCAGTGCAATTATTTTGCATTTCCGCTTGCCATTCTGCTGGAATTTATCCAACAAATTACAAAAAAAAATTAAGAAAAAAAAACTATGAAATAGCCACCCACACAGAAATGCCTTCTAGTAATGGTTTGAATATGCTATTTAGTATCTACTATATCTATATAACCTTGCGCCGATTTCTCAAACAAACACACGGACAGACAGAAACATTGCTCAGCAATTTGGTTTGCAATTTTTCCGCCACAAAAATTATAAATTAAGTACTAATTACATGGAAATAACAACAACAACAACAACAACAACAACAACAGCAAACGAGGCAGCGAGAAATCGGTGGAAAATCAAACGGAGCCGCATTTAATGTTCAACTGCGGCCACGCCCCCATACCACAATGTGCCCAATGTGTGGGCGTTGCACTAATGAACACAGAAATCGAGAAAAAATGGAAATATCGAAACATTTTTGTGTGTAACAAATAGAAAAAAATAGAGAGAAACCCAGGGCACAGTGAATATTACAAAGGAGGGATTATTTTTATTGAAGATAATTTGTTAAAACATAAAATACTTCTTAATAAATTTACAAAATTCAGATATGTATGCTTTTATAATCAGTGAATTTATTTAATATTTACCTCTCCTTAAGAAGTAGTTTTTCTTTAAAATTATATTGATTTCTAGAACCACTTTAATTTATTTTTATATATGTAGAAATCTCATTTATATTCCTTAAAATAATTTTAATATAATATTTTATATTATAGTTATTCGTTAGTTTTCTTTACTGTATCGCAATGCTTGGATGCAACACTTGATTGGTCGTTGTATTTATTCGCTTTTGCTGTCTTGAATGGGTGATAAATTATTTCCCGCCATTTACATAAATGCTTTGAATGCATTAATTAAAGTCCAAAAGGCCCGGACTCCCTCCTGTTCTATCCAACCCAAGTCCCACCCCTTCGATCTAATCAATTGTTGTTTATTATTGGGCCAGGCCCATAGAGAAGCCATTACCATTACGATTAGCGAATTGGCCTTATACGTGCACAAGTATCTGAGTATCTTTTGTTCTCTCACTCGGCGCACTGCGCTGCGTATCTGCATCTGAGGAGATATATCGTATACATATATGTAGATATATGCATAAGTATGTTGGCCATTTTAAGTGGCTGCCGCCTAATTGTTCATAAAAGTCAACAGTCAATAGCTCTTTATGTTTGCGCTTGAAATTTATATTTATTTATTGTTATTTTTCAGCAGCTTCATAATTTTTCGCGAGGCATTTTTGTGGCTTGGCAAACGCTGCAGTAGCCATTGGAAATGATTTTTTTGTCTTTTTAAATTCCAAGGTCTTGCCATTCTTTACAATTAGCAACTGAATTTATGAGCGATTTCAATTTCATTGCGGTTCGTTTGTTGCCTTTTCTGACTGCTGGCTGGCTCTTGGCTGATCCCGCTTGTGGGCTAACGAGTTTCTGGCCAAAACCAAACAGAACTGCCAAACGAATGCAGTAAAAATTCAAGAACAACAATAGCACCAGCAGCAGCCGTAAATAACAAAGTCAAAGTCACTGACAGCATTTGAAGCTAATCAGAGCAAGGGGTCAATCGACAGTGCGTTTCGCCAATATATGTACCAGAGAATATGGATAAAAATTTTGTTAGGTATTGGTTATAAATGTATGGATTAAAATGCCTTTTTAACATGATTTAAAGTATTTTTAAATACTAAGAAAACAATTATTCATTTTTACGTTATATAAATTACCAAATATTTACATTTAACTTGTTCATTGGTATATTTAAATTAAAGTGTCTGAGTAATCCCCGAATTCTAAATTAAAAAGTAAATGACTTTTTAAGTATGGTAAAAGTATCAATTACTTTTAATTCCAATTAAATATTCTCCTAAAATTTTCATTTTATTTTTCTGTGACTATGGTTATCATTTTGTTCCATGCAACAAAAAAATCCTCACCTATCAACTGTTAGATTTCAATTGAAATCACTCATTGGCACCTACAACATACCATCTGGCTGACATAATTCTCTTAGATCACCGCCCAGTTTAGCGCCCATTTAGCAGTCATGTAATTTTATTAACAATATCTCTATGACATTTAGCAATTGTTCGGTCACGTTAGAACAACCGAAGCCAACCGCAAACAATTACGTTTAACTGGTCGTGGTCAAAGGGGCAATTTGGTAGATGCTGCGATAAGCCATGCACTGTAAGAAAATTTACTATAAACAAGAATTAACTTTGGGAAGCGGAAGTTTATATACCCTCTCACAATTTCAAATTGTATTATAGGATCACTTCGGAAATCGATAATAACTAAGTTGAAAATACACGCATTCTTTGAAGCTATATTTTTATATGACAATTTTTCCAACAAATCAAGGTTTTGAAAAACGCATAACTAAGCCAAAAAGGCATTAATTTCGATTCGGAAAGCTGTTCTGTGTTAGTTTTAAATAGGTTAATAAATCTGCATACCTAATTTACAATTTTAAAATAATAAAATTGTTGTTAAATTTTTAATATGTCAACAATGTAAAAACTTGTCCAAAAATTTTGAAAATTTGTTTCAAAAAATTATTTTATTTTTTTGATGCCTAGAAAGATTCTCCTGTTGATGCTGATCAAGAATACATATGATTTATCGGATCGGAAATGAGTCCTTCACTCCGTTTCAAGCTTCTGACTGGAAGTATAATACCCTGTAAAGGTATAAATATTTGCATATTTTATATGACGATTTTTCTAATATCAATGGATTAAAAATATAATAACTAAGCTAAAAATGCATTAATTTCGATTCGGAAAGTTGCTCTGTGTTAGTTTTAAATAGGTTAATAAATCTACATACCTTATTTACATTATTTAAATATTAAAATTTTTGTCGATTTTTCAATATGTCAACAATGTAAAAACTTGTCCAAAAGTTTTGAAAAATATTTTCTAAAAATTATTTTATTTCTTTGATGTCTAGAATGATTCGCCTGTTGATGCTGATCAAGAATATATATGGTGTATAGGGTCGGAAATGACTCCTTCATAGTGATTTAAGCATATGACTTAAATTACGATACCCTGTCTTGATTATATACTTTTTCTCAGTGTACCCACCACATACCTCTATTTCCAACTTAACTTTAATTTATTGACAATGCAATGTAATTGTTTCCGATAGAGATCGTGACCAGGCCTTAAAACTGCATAGGTTTTGTCTCCCAAGCCTCAGTGTCCTTTTTTCTAGCTTGACTTCATCATGTGCCGCTTCCTGATTTTGATAGTTCTTATCCTTGGATATGGAAGAATCTGCAGTAGCTGGACACCACAAGAGGTGGTTCAACGCCTCAATAGAGATATGGAACTAGAGCTTAATATTTATATGGATTGCGAAGATGTGAATATATCGGTAGATCAGGGAGAAGTTCCAAATTTGCAACTTAATTCTGTGTATGAACAACCGAAATTAATGGGAAGATTCAGCGAGAGAGCTTTGTTAATTGCCTGCTTAAAGGAAGCCAAAGGAAATCGAACCCTAAAAAGATTAAAGGAACTTCTTTGGGGACTTCAACATTTGCCTATATTTTATATCCTGAATTCTGAAATGGATTTCTATTTCGAGCAAGCCTTACAGAAGGGATTTCTTCATACGCTGGCCTTGAATACAATGAATGGATCGCTTTACACCTATACACCTTATCCCACAATACAAATACATCAATTGAAAGAAATAGAAAATTTCTATAAAATAACTACACTAAAAAATCTACATGGAATCGATGTGAATATAACTGGAGAGACAATGACACCGCGTTGTTTCCACTATAATAATCGTCAAGGGAAAAAGGTTTACGCGGGTTATATGTACAAGCTAGTAAAGGGATTTATAAATGCCTACAATGGCACTGAGAGAATGGCCTATGCCAATGAGGAGATCATACCCTATGACGAACTAAAAAGTGAATTATTAAATGGTCACATCGATATGATGCCTCGGATTATACACATTTTGAATTGGCAATATTTCTACCGCAGTTCTATTTTATATAATATAAAAACCTTTATAATTGTTCCCTGGGCTGAGCCTTTGCCAAAGAGTTTGTACTTCCTGAAACCCTTTGTTTGGACAGCCTGGATGACTATAATGGCCAGCTTGATGTACTCCTCGATAATGATCTGGAGGCTAAAACATCGACAAAAGGATGCTTCTACTTTATCATCAACTTTTTTGGATGTTTTGCAATGGCTTTTCCTACTTCCGATTAGCCATAATTGGCACTACAAACTGGGACTGCATCGTGTGATCGCTTTTCTGGTTCTCTTCACAGTGGGATTTATTTTAACTAATTTGTATTTGGCTCAGTTATCAAGTTTCCTGACCACTGGTTTGTTTAAAAAACAACTCAATACCTTTGAGGATCTATTTCGTGAGAACCGTACACTGATACTCGAAAGTTTTGACATGGAAGTGTTGCATAATATGACCAGGGATAAGTTAATACAACCAGAATTTGAAAATATCGTTGTAAGCACCTCAATAGCTGAGGTCTTTTCTCATCGCAAGAGCCTGAATACAACATATGTCTATACGGCCTATGAAGATCGCATTGAGTTTGAATTGTACCAGCAGGTGTATTTACGAGTGCCGATTTTTAAGAGACTTAATGATATCTACGACCAGAGACCGGTGTTTGTCGCTTTGCGGCATGGTTTGCCATATGCGGAATTATTTAATAATTATCTTCACAGGATATGGGAGTCGGGCATTTTGGCGAAATTCCAGAGCGACACCTTAAACGAGGGCATCTCCAGTGGTGAAATCAGCTTCCGGCACTCCACTTCTCGTGAGATCCATGTCTTTGACATGGAATTTTATTATTTTGCCTATATTTTGTTGGGCTTCGGTTGGTCTATCAGCATTATAGTGTTTTTGGTAGAGAGAAAGGGATTTATTATTGGGAATAAGTGTCTTCAATGGGTTTTTAAAGACAAATAATGTCTTTGGTCACAAAAATTTATAAAAATTATAAATATTATACAAATACTATGTGTATGTTGAAATTATGATACTTATTAATTGATATATTTAACTATTTACAATATATTATATTGATGTTAGTCTTATACATTACATGCTTTTAGCCTAACTTTTATAGTACGGAAAAACTATTTGAAATTAAGGGTTTAAACCTTTCGAATTTTGTTGTTTTATTCTTTGTTTATGAACGCTTTCATAATTAACAAAAAGAATACACCTTAATAAATACATAAGAGCAATAAATAATCAAGAAACCCACATCTATCATGTCCTTGTCTTCGCCTCCTTGGGTTTACCTAATGGTAAAAGATTTACTTGTAATAAATCCTATTGAAACAGAAACTGAAAATCTTCCAAAAATTAAACCAAAATATTTCATTTACTACTCGAATAACCACATCCACATTTAATTAGGCAACTTACAATACATAAATACCTCTTTAATTGTATACAATTGGTGTAATCCACCGAATGCTCATTTAACAAACTGCCATGAGGTAATTATATTCCATTAATTATAATTGGTGCGTTTGCCATTATGCGTTAAATTAGGAAAAGTGTCACAAAATGATTAGATATTATAGCTGTAATAGCATAATAATACCATTTATGGAGCCGTCTCTGGGAAGTGCCTATAAAAGCAGCTTGAAGCAGACGATTTCAGAGTCGCTTCAATGGATTTACTTTTACTAAACACGCTTCAGAACCTCTCGCTGGCCGAAGGAATTCGTTTGGGTCAAACTATTCGAGAGCTAAATATATTATATCAAGCGGAGTTCAATGTGTTTTTGGAATTTGGTAATGGTTCAGATATATTGGAAGCAGCCAGGCAGCCTCTTTTACCTAGTTTATGGCTGAGCAATATCGAAAATCAAATAGTTATGGAGGGAAACTTCAGTAGCTGTACCTTAACTATACTTTATTTGGAAGAACCCCACCTAAATAGTGGTCTTGACTATTTAACAAAGTGGTTGTGGAAATATCAACATCTTTATGTATTAATATTTTACAAAGATGGAACTGATGAAAATTTGACTACAATATTTAAACGTTGCTTTGGAGCAGGCTTGTTGCATGTAATTGTTATGTTACCAAACTCAGAAGGACTCTACAGCTTCTTGCCTTACGAGAATTTCAGGATCTTACATTTAGCTAATGTAATGGATTACCATATTACCTCAAAATTAAATTGGAACTTCCGGGGACACAACATTACCAGTGGCCTTGTGACGGCAGGTGCACCGCGTTGGTATTCCTTTCGAGATCGTAACAACAAATTGATACTAACTGGCTATATGCTAAGAATGATAATGGATTTCACCAGATTTTATAATGGATCAGTACAAACCCGGAATGTGTCAACTGTGAATGAAGGTCTACAGCTTTTAGACAATCGATCTATTGATTTTTTTCCGTTCCTTATCAGACCTTTGGAAGGTTTTCAAATGACGAACATTATGTATCTGGAGAACTGTGGCCTTATAGTGCCCTCATCGAGACGTATACCAAATTATCTATACCTGATTCGACCTTATACTTTAAGCACCTGGTTAACTTGGTTAATAATCATAGGATACTGCTCTCTGGCCTTGAGGATTTTAACAAAAGGAAAACTAAACCTGAGTGGAGCTTTTCTGAATATACTTCGCCTTGTTCTATATCTCTCTGGAGGCAAGGATATGGGTGCTCGACCATCGCATCATAGTTTCCTGCTCTTCATAATACTAACCACTTCTGGATTTATACTGACTAACCTGTATTTGGCCCAACTATCTAGTAACTTGGCCACAGGACTCTACGAAAAGCAAGTAAATTCTTGGCAGGATCTCGATGAAACGGATGGTATTTGGCCGTTGATTGATGTTGATGTCACAACGATGCAGACATTAATTCCCGATCGCCATAAACTAATCTCTCGCATAGTCATTACTTCAGAGCAAAATGTGGATATGTTTAGGAGAAATTTAAATACAAGTTGCATTCATTCGGGATTCTTCGATCGCCTTGAGTTTGCCCTGTATCAGCAAAAGTTCCTAAAGTTACCAATTTTCCGGAAATTTCCCCATATACTGTACCAACAGCCCCTCCAAATTTCCACATCCTTTGGACGTCCTTACCTGCAGCTCTTTAATTGGTTTTCACGCAGAACATTTGAGAGTGGCATCTTCTTAAAAATGAAAGAAGATGCCTATTTGCATGGCATACAGAGCGGTCTCTTGACTTTCGATTTTCGGGATAAGTATTTGAAAGTTAAATCGAATAATTTGGAGTATTATTATCTGGTTGCCGGATTTTGGTTGGGTGGTTTGTTCTTGGCTTTAATTTCATTTTTTGTAGAGTTGTTGTTAGCGGCCACTCGAATAAAGGTTACTGTAGATTTTAAGCTGTCAAAATAATAAGAAACTATATCGAAAAAGAAATCGTTCCTAAAATATGAATTAAGCAATAAATGCATTTGATTTTTATGTAACAAAATATAAAGTTCCTATTACCATTTTATCAATATTATTGTAATTAAACAGTTCCTATAATATCTAATATAAACATTTGTAAAGTATTCATGAATGGCTTATAAATAATATTTAAACCGATATAAATAATTAAAACGGATTTGCAGAATTTACTAGTTTTATTTTAAATTCAAGACAAGTGAAAATCGATAATAACCGATATTTTATGACACTTTTTCCAACAAATCAATGTTTTAAAAAGCTCATAACTAAGCTAAAAATTCATTCAATTTGATTCTAAAAGCTGTTCTGTGTTAGTTTTTAATAGGTTAATAAATCTGCATACTTAATTTACATTTATTAAATACTAAAATTTTTGTCAATTTTTCAATATGTCAACAATGTAAAAACTTGCCTAAAAATTTTGAAAAAAATTTCCAAAAAATTAATTTATATCTTTGATACCTAGAAAGGTTCTGCTGTTGATGCTGATCAAGAATATATATGGCTTATAGGGTCGGAAATGACTCCTTTACTCCTTTTCAAGCTTCAGACTGAAAGTATAATACCCTGTAAAGGTATAAATATTTGCATATTTTATATGACGATTTTTCTAATATCAATAGATTAAAAATATCATAACTAAGCTAAAAATGCATTAATTTCGATTCGGAAAGTTGCTCTATGTTAGTTTTCAATAGGTTAATAAATCTACATAGCTTATTTACATTTTTAAAATATTACAATTTTTGGCAATTTTTCAATATGTCAAGAATGTAAAAACTTGTCCAAAAATTTAAAAAAAAAAATTTCAAAAAATTATTTTATTTCTTTGAAGTCTAGAAAGATTCTCCTGTTCATGCTGATCAAGAATATATATGGCTTATAGGGTCGGAAATGACTCCTTCACTTTCTTTTAAGCTTCTGAATGAAAAAATAATACCCTGCAAGGGCAATATAAGGCATTACTTCTTAATTCAATCCGTATATATCTCACTAAACAATCTTAAGATTGACTTTTTGATTTCTCCAAGCAGGTTATTTATTTTCCATTTTAATAGTCTCAATTTCTCTAGACTTCTTCAACTAATTTAATGCCCAGATTTCTGGTGTCATATTTTCCTGCTCAGCGGGGCTCATAAATAATTTTGTTAGTTACCTCCAAGAGATCTCCTTCCATAACTCTCCCAGCCCCAAAACTGTAATTACAACGAAAATACGCTAAAATATTTGGCTTAGATGGTGACACGCCTCCCTTGGCGGCCTCTCATTTGCATTTGCATTTGCAGCCCCGTTGGCTGCACTTGTCGTGCCAAGAAAATCCACTGGACAACCTGCAACTCACTGGCTGCAACGTGCAACCTGCAACTGGCAACTGGCAACCGGCCAAAGCTGCCACTGCCTCCGAAGGTGTCTTCGATTATTGCCAAACATTAATTATTTGCGCGCGATTTGGCGCCCGCCTCCTTTTTCTTTTTCTTTTTTGTGAAAGGCCTGGGCTAGTAGTTCAAATGTTTATTTTTCTGCTCTCCACGGTGTATGTTTGATTGCCGGTTACACAGGGGGAAAAAATAAGTGTCTCAAAGTATATTTTATGTGCTATTAGTTAATTAGTAAAATGACATGAATTTTAGGTTGTTTCAATAAATATTAAAGTATATTTGTTTACAGAGAAAATGTAACAGGATTTTATTGAGAAATATTTGATTCCACTTAGGTTTTTAATAGATAATAATAACTAATGAAAATAGACTTTCTATATTTATTGAAATATATTAAATCTATATATTCTATATTATATTTTCCAATACATAATTATATTCCTAAATTTAGCAATAGCAATAGTATTTTATTCTCTTATTTTTCTGGACTTTATTATTAAAAAATTCAATTAATCCTAAATTTAGTAGGTGAAATATATTATTGTCATAATTTTTTGTTCTGTGTAAAATCAGTCAGACATGGGCTTCAATTTTTTTTCCTTTGCGCAATGGATGTGAGACGAGGGACGGTCCAGGTCGGGTCTCCGCCATCCTCCAATTCTCCAGTCTGGCTTATTTATTTTTGGCCGAAAATTGCACATTTTCCCATGCTGCTGCCGGTTGTTGTTGTAGTTGTTGTTAGTGGATGTTGCTGGTCATGTTGTTGTTAGTGTTGTTGTTGTTGATGTTGTTGTTGTCGCGTCTAATCAAGGAGCGGAGTTAAGAGTCACTGCCGCCTTGGTCGCCCCATTGCCATTTAGCCCGAAGCGGCTGCCTCAGCCAAAACGATGAATATTGATTTAATTGAAAGTCATTGAGAGCCGCACACGTACTTCATAGACACGAGTTGTGATACCCTGGAATATCGGGTTTTCAGGATGTTTCGATATGTGTTATTATACAGGATAAAGTTAGAAATTTGTTAAAGTTGAAACATCTCTGAAAATATTGTTGAATTGAAACCAAAAATGTATTTGAATAGTATATTTCTTTAAAAACTTGGTAAATTATAAGAAAATATACTTCTTACTATAGAAATGTTTTGGAAAATCTTTATTTTAAGCATATTTTGAAACTAAGTCCACATCGTAGCAAACGTTGCAGTACTTAAAAATATAATTGGTAGCGAACTAGAGTTATCGTGTAGTGTAGTGTAGTGCTAATTATTTCTTTTTAAATAATAATGAAAATCAACCTAGGGCTTGCTAATTAAGTTTAATTTCCTCTCAAAAACTTCTTAATTTAATTTCTATATTTTTATAAATATAAATATTTCAATGATAAAGGGTATTTACATCTTCGATTCCCTAAGTTCCTTTAGTTTCTCCAACTCTCCATTTGGCGTGGCATCGAACCGACCGCCGATCGCAGCTTGTGCCCTCCCACATGCCAACATCTTCAGGCACACACACTCCAAGCACACACACAGGGACCACTATCGCACACCCAACTGTGGAGTGGAGTGGAGAGAACCGCCGACGCCCCGGCAAAAGTTTCCCCTGTTTTTGCTGTGGCACAATGACACAGTTTTCCATGGCAGATGTGCCCAAGAGCCCTGCTCCCCTTTACCCCGGCTATATTGGAATTTTGTCGACTTGTTTCTAGTTTTTTTTTCTGTAATTCTTTTTTCCTGTATTGGCATCTGTGGCGTTGCCGGCAAATGTCAAAAGGTTAATACGTGAATTAACAGCAAATTTCTTTGACTTGTGTGTGACTGCAGGCTGCTAGTTGGGGACTGAGGCTGCACAGAGGGAAAAATCGTTATGCTTTTGCATAAATCTTCAATTAATTTAAGGTTAATTTATGCGATTATCTAAGGGAAATAGAAAAATAGTTTTTTTCTTTATATATTTTGGTTTTTTAAATCATAAAATTTATAAATTTAAAAACTATAATATAATAACATAAATTTCACAACATTTTTGAGCTTAAAATACATTTATTTATAAGAATAATACTTATATTTCTGCAAATAACACTTGTTCTATGTAATCATGTACCTCTTAAGATCTCCTTTTATTTCATCCTTAATTTTCTATATAATTTTTTCACTGCATTTTCTGGAATAGGTATTGCTAGTTGGTAGTTTTTCCTGCAGCTGCTGCTGGCGCTTTCCTTGGAATGCGGGCGTTGCTTCGTTTTGTTTATTTTCTTTTTTCGGCAGCATCACTGCCGCTTTTCTCGTGGGTTCCCCTAATGCATTTTTTTTTTTTTGGGACACCAGCATGGGGCCATCGAGGGATTTTACAACATATTACATTAAAATGCTTCTCTTTCGTGTCCATTATTCTTTTAAAGCCTCTCGGTTTCTATGCTAATAAATCAATGGAAGTTTTTAGTCTGGGCAAATTCCGAACATTTTCCCAGGCTTCAAGTTAAGTGCGGGATTAACGGAAAGCAAATCCCCCCAAGTATGTTGTAAAGTCTCCCCACATGAGAGTAGTTCGGGCATGATTTTAAAGGGGAATTCCTTAGTGGAATTTTGTAGCTTAAGTTTTTAATAACATTAGTGAAAGGAGGAGATTTTTGAGAACTTAAAATTTTAATGAGTTGTTTTGTATTATTTTAAATTAAAAAGAGCCAGTAAGGCAGTTAAAAATGTTGTATTTCTTTTCATATATTTAAATATTAAAGTAATATTATTTTTAAATATATTTACATGTCTAAAAGTATTTTAAAGGAATTTAAAAAACATATAATGATACTTTTAAGTCCTTTTTCGATTTATGAAAAGCTTTAAGCAGTAAATATCCTTTATATATTTATTTCACAACCACACTTGTATAACTGTACAACTGTTGTCCTTGCAGCTAGCTCAGACATAAACCTCCAAATCCTTAGATATATCCTTATCGAGTGCCACCACATGCCAGCCAGATGGCGCCACCGAAAACTGCACTTAAATTGAACAAATTTTTCAATTACTTACGAGAAAAAATTCCATTTGGCACGCTCGATTGCCATTGCATTGCCTTTTGCCAGATGCCATGAGTATAACCCACATAGATGGCGATTAAACGGACACTGGGATAGATATACGAAATAGAGTCGTATGTCTATGCAAATTATTTGCGCAGTGGCAAGTGCATAATTTTTATTATTATTATTTCTCAGGCGCTAGTGCCCCGCCAATCTAGAGTAGATCAAAAAAGCGCAAAAAGCCTACGGAGAGTCGACCCACTTGGTGGCTGCCCACTTGGGTTTCTTTTTGGTTTTTTATTATTTATTTTTGTTTCTTTCGAAAAATTCAATTCAATTCATTAGCCAAGCTCTGGCAGCGATTAAATCACCCAGCTTACACTATATCTATATTATATTTGCACAAGCACATAGATATTTATTTGTATTTATTTTTTTAATGGAGCTGGCCGCATAATCCACTGACAATTTATTGGCATTTTCATGTAAATTATGCTATTTCAATAAAAATAAAAACACACACACTTCATGAAGAGTGCCAGAGCG